TTTGCAATTTTAGGTCAGTCAACCTTGAAAGCACAAATATTGATGGTGACTCTTTATTCCAGGTGAAGTTTTGGGATTACTAGGACACAATGGAGCTGGTAAAAGTACTTCTATTAAAATGATAACTGGGTGCACAAAGCCAACTGCAGGAGTGGTATGTGACATGTGAAGGAAATTTCATTTTAAATATCGATGGTATCCTCCTATTATTCCTATCAGTAAATCAAATTTTTTTTTCAGAAAACATATAAATAGATAAAAGAATTTCTCTTGCATGCTTAAAAAATATTGTAGCTTAAAGGCCTCTTTTATCTTCTTTAGTAGAAGACAGATTGGAGGAAAAGCCAAGGGTGGATCTGACATTCATTGTCCTATGTAGGTGGTATTACAAGACAGCAGAGCATCAGTGAGGCAACAGGAAGACCACAGCCCCAAGTTCTTGGGGTACTGCCCTCAGGAAAACTCATTGTGGCCCAGCCTTACAATGAAAGAGCACCTGGAGTTGTATGCAGCTGTGAATGGACTGAGCAAAGAGGATGCTGCTCTTAGTATTTCACGGTACAGAGACATGTCTCATTCACAATTTTTAGCTGAAGGAAGGACATGTAATTTCTTCATTATATATGAAAAGGAGATCATAAACAAGTCTTTAAATTTTTATGCAAATAAAACGACTGAAAAATCTGGATACAAACAAAATCATATGATTTATTATTTGTTTATGAAAATGTTAATGATACTTAAATGCACTATTTTCAGATTAATAGTGCTTAGAGTTTTCCATACTGTTGTTTTAGATAGGCACATTTGCCATATACCTCATGTAAAATCACACCATTTTTTTGTCAGATTGGTGGAAGCTCTTCAGCTCCAGGAGCAACTTAAGATTCCTGTGAAGACCTTATCGGAGGGAATAAAGAGAAAGGTAGGGCAGGGTTTAGGGTTACTCTGCCTACTGCCATAGATGGGTGCTGGACAGGCTGTTACTTTTGTTCCAGCTGTGCTTCGTGCTGAGCATCCTGGGGAACCCATCGGTGGTGCTTCTGGATGAGCCGTCTACCGGGATGGACCCCAAGGGGCAGCAGCAAATATGGTGAGGAGGATGAATATTAAGTGTCAAAGTCAATAGTATACATCTCGAGTTGGTTTTTTGTTTGTTTGTTTTTTACATTTTGCTCCATTAACCTTGCTACTCACATCCCTGTTTAAATCAATGAAACCAGTATAGCATTCAAAAGTCATTGAGGAAGAAAGCAATAGACATTTTAAGATTCAAATAGACTCTTGAATATATTTGTTGGGGTTTTCTTTCTCTTAACTCATCTTCCCTGTCTGTTTATTCTTCTTCCATTTTATTTTTCAGTTACTGGTAGTCCTATAGTGTGGTATTTCTCGGTTTTTACTCCAACTTTTTTTTCCGAACATTAGTA